TAGCATTGAATGTATAAGCCACTTTGGATAGTGTGGCCATTTTCACGATATTGATTCTTCCTAACCATGAGCATCAAATGTTTTTCCATCTATTTGTGTCCTCTCTTACTTTGTTGAGCAGTGGTCTGTAGTTCTCCTTGAAGAGGTCCTTTATTTCCTTTGTTAGTTGTATTCCTAGGTATTTTATTCTCTTTGTAGCAATTGTGAATGGGAGTTCTCTCATGATTTGGGTCTTTGCCTGTTATTGGTGTACAGGAATACTTGCGGTTTTAGAACATTGATTTTGTATTTTGAGACTTTGCTGAAGTTGCTTATCATCTTAAGGAGATTTGGGGCTGAGACGATGGGAACTTCTAAACATACAATCATGCGGTCTGCAAATAGAGACAATTTGACTTCCTCTTTTTTTAACTGAATACTCTTTATCTCTTTTTCTTGCCTGATTGCTCTGCCTAGAACTTCCAATACTATGTTGAATAGGAATGGTGAGGTTAGGCAACCTTGTTTAGTGTCAGTTTTCAAAGGGAATGCTTCCAGTTTTTGCCCATTCAGTATGATTATGATATTGGCTGTGGGTTTGTCATAAATAGCTTTTATTATTTTGAGATACACTCAATTGATACCTAGTTTATTAGGAGTTTTTGTATAAAGGGCTGTTGAATTTTGTTGAAGGCCTGCTCTGCTTCTATTGAAATAACCATGTGGTTTTTGTCTTTGGTTCTGTTTACGTGAGGGATTAGGTTTATAGATTTGTATATGTTGAACCAGCCTTGCATCCCAGGGATGAAGCTTACTTGATCATGATGCATAAGCTTTTTGATGTGCTGTTGCATTCAATTTGCCAGTATTTTATTGAAGATTTTTGCATTGATGTTCATCATGGATATTGCCCTAAACTTATCTTTTTTAGTTGTGTCTCTGTCAGGTTTTAGTATCAGGATGATGTTGGTCTCATAAAACTAGTTACAGAGTATTCCCTCTTTTTGTATTGTTTGGAGTAGTTTCAGAAGGAATGGTATCAGTTCCTCTTTGTACACCTGGTAGAATTCATCTGTGAACCTTTCTGAATCTGGACTTTTTTTGGTTGGTAGGCTATTAATTGCTGCCTCAACTTCAGACCTTGTTATTGGCCTATTCAGGGATACAACTTCTTCCTGGTTTAATCTTGGGAGGGTGTAAATTTCCAGGAATTTATCCATGTCTTCTAAATTTACTTGTTTATGTGCATAGACTTGTTTATAATAAGTCTGATGGTAGTTTGAATTTCTGTGGAATCAGTGATGATATCCCCTTTATCATTTTTATTGTATCTATTTGATTCTTCTCTCTTTCCTTTTTTCTTAGTCTGGATAGTGGTCTATCTATTTTGTTGATCCGTTCAAAAAACCGGCTCCTGGATTTATTGATTTTTTGAAGGGTTTTCTTGTGTCTCTATCCTCTTTAGTTCTGCTCTGATCTTAGTTATTTCTTATCTTCTGTTACCTTCTGAATTTGTTTGATCTTGCTTTTCTAGTTCTATTAATTGTGACAATAGAGTGTCAATTTTAGATCTTTCCTCACTTCGCATGTGGGCATTGAGTGCTATAAATTTCCCTCTAGACACTTCTTTAAATGTGTCCCAGAGATTCTGGTACAATTGTGTCTTCATTCTCATTGATTTTGAAGAACATCTTATTTCTGCCTTCATTTCATTGTTTATCTAGTAGTCATTCAGAAACAAGTTGTTCAGTTTCCATGTAGTTGTGCAGTTTTGAGTGAGTTTCTTCATCCTGAGTTCTAATTTGATTGCATTGTTGTCTGAGAGACTGATCCTTATGATTTTTTGTTCTTTTGCATTTGCTGAGGAGTGATTTACTTTCGATTATGTGGTCAATTTTAGAGTAAGTGCGATGTGGTGCTGAGAAGAATGTATATTCTGTGGATTTGGGGTAGAGAGTTCTATAGATATCTATTAGGTCTTGGCCCACATCTGAGTTCAAGTCCTGGATATCCTTGTTAATTTTCTGTCTCATTGATCTGTCTAATATTGACAGAGGAGTGTTAAATCTCCCACTATTATTGTGTGGGAGTCTAATTCTCTTTGTAGGTAATTAAGAACTTGCTTTATGTATCTGGGTGCTCCTGTATTGGGCACATATATATTTAGCATCGTTAGCTCTTCTTGTTGCACTGATCCTTTTACCATTATGTAGTGCCCTTCTTTGTCTCTTTAGCTCTTTGTTGGTTTAAAGTCCATTTTATCAGAGACTAGGATTGCAACTCCTGCTTTTGTTTTTCTCTCCATTTGCATGATAAATCTTCCTTCATCCCTTTATTTTGAGTCTATGTGTGTCTTTGCACATGACATGGATCTCCTGAATACAGCACACCGATGGATCTTGACTTTTTATCCAATTTGCCAGTCTATGCCTTTTGATTGGGGCATTTAGCCCATTTACATTTAAGGTTATTATTGCTATGTGTGAATTTGATCATGCCATTTTGATACTAGTTGGTTGTTTTGCCCATTAGTTGATGCAGTTTCTTTATTGTGTTGACGGTCTTTACCATTTGGTACATTTTTGCAGTTGGTGGCACTGGTTGTTCCTTCCATGTTTAGTGTTTCCTTCAGGAGCTCTTTTAAGGAAGGCCTGTTGGTGGCAAAATCTCTCAGCAATTGCCTGTCTGTAAAGGATTTTATTTCTCCTTCACTTATGAAGCTTAGTTTGGCTGGATATGAAATTGTGGGTTGAAAGTTCTTTTCTTTAAGGATGTTGAATATTGGCCCCCACTCTTTTCTGACTTGTAGGGTTTCTGCCGAGAGATCTGCTGTGAGTCTGATAGGCTTCCCTTTGTGGGTAATCTGACCTTTCTCTTTGGCTGCCTTTAGCATTTTTTACTTCATTTCAACCTGGTGAATCTGATGATTAAGTGCCTTGGGATTGCTCTTCTTGAAGAATACCTTTTATTTCCTGGATTTGAATGTTAGTCTACCTTGCTATATTGGGGAAGTTCTCCTTGATAATATCCTGGAGCATGTTTTCCAGCTTGGTTTCTTTCACCCTGTCACATTCAGGTACACTGATCAAATGTAGATTAGGCCTTTTCACATAATCCCATATTTCTTGGAGGCTTTGTTCATTTCTTTTCACTCTTATTTCTCTAATCTTGTCTCCTCAATTTATTTCATTGAGTTGATCTTCAATCTCTGATATCCTTTCTTCTGCTTCATTGATTCAGCTACTGAAACTTGTGTATGCTTTGCAAAGTTCTCTTGCTGTGTTTTTCAGCTCCATCAAGTCATTTATGTTCTTCTCTAAGCTGGGTATTCTAGTTAGCATTTCAACTAACCTTTATTCAAGGTTCTTAGTTTCTTTGCATTGGGTTAGAACATGTTCCTTTAGCTCAGTGAAGTTTGTTATCACCCACCTCCTGAAGCCTGCTTCTGTCAATTTGTCAAACTCATTCTCCATCCAATTTTGTTCCCTTGGTGGCAAGGAGTTGTGATCCTTTGGAGAAGGAGAGGCGTTCTTGTTTTTGGTGATTTCATCCTTTTCATGCTGGTTTCTTCCCATTTTGGTGGATTTATCTACCTTTGTTCTTTGAAGTTGGTGACTTTCAGATGCGGTCTCTGAGTGGACATCCTTTCTGTTGATGTTGAAGCTATTTCTTTCTGTTTTTTAGTCAGACCCCTCTGCTACAGGACTGCTGGAGGTCCACTCCAGACCCTGCTTGCCTGGGAATCACCTGTGGGAACTGTAGAACAGCAAGCATTGCTGCCTGTTCCTTCCTCTGATTGTTTCATTCCAGAAGTGTACCTGCCAGATGTCAGCCAGAGCTCTCCTGTATGAAGTATCTCTTTGGATATATGGAGGTCAGGGAGCCACTTGAGGAGACAGTCTGTCCCTAATCAGAGCTCAAGTGCTATGCTGGGAGTTCCATTGCTCCCTTCAGAGCTGCTGGGAAGGGATGTTTAAGCCTGCTGCAGTGGCACTCACAACCAACCCTTTTTCCCAGGTGCTCTGTCCCAGGAAGCTGAAGCTTTATTCATAAGTCCCTGGTGGGCTGCTGCTTTTTTTTTTAGAGATGCCCTGCCCTGAAAGGAGGGAGTCTAGTCACAGTCTGCCTGCAGATGCATTGCTGAACTGCCACGGGCTCTGCCCAGCTACTGTGTAAACTTCCTTGAGATTTGGTTTACACAGGTAAAGTTAGACTTGGCAATGGTGGACTGCCTTGGTAATGGTGTATGCCCTTCCCCCTACTGAGCTCCACCCTCCTGGGTCTGGGTCAAACTGCTGTGCTGGCTGCAAAACTCTCCAGTGGGTTTCGGTTTGCTGGTCTTTGTCGGGGTGGGACCCACCACGACCACCTGGCTCCCTACCTTCAGCCTCCTTTTTTTCAGGGGAATGGGCAGCTCTGTCTTGCAGGCACTCCAGGTGCCAGTAAAAATGGCTGCCCAGATTTGTGCTGGAAACCTGTGGCACCAGCTGAAACAGCTGCCCAGATTTGGGCCGGAAACCAAAGGCACCTGTCAGCCCAGAGGGAATCTCCTGGTCTGTGTGCTGTAAAGACCATGGGAGAAGCTGGGTATCTGAACCGGAGTGCCTGAGTGGCCGGAAAAGTCCCCGAGGGCCTCAATTGGGTAGGAGGGGGATTCTCTGGCCTGTTGCACTTCCTGGGTGAGGCAGTGCCCTCCCCCCACCTCAGTTTGCCCTCCTTGGGCTATACCCACTGTCCAAGCTGTCCCATTGAGATGAACCTGGTACCTTGGTTGGAAATATGGAGGTCACTTGCCTTCTGTGTTATTCTTACTGCGCACTGCACTCCGGAGCTGTTTCTATTTGGACATCATGGTGAAAGTCTTCTCAATGAGTCTTTAATCACATTTATCAGTACCTACGGTTAAGAATATTTAACAAGAGAACTTTGGAAATTACTACTTGCCAAACTCTCAGGGAAAAAAGTATTTTAAAAATGTAACCCACAGTCTTGTCTTTTAGTCTGAATGTAAAATATTTAGGGATAAAATAAGAGTTTATCGATACTTTAAAATTCTATTAGCTTTCTTTTGTTAGTGTGAACTAAAAATAGATGACTTTTAAAAAATTTTTAATACAAGAATAATATTTTGTCTTAGAAAATCTTATTAAATATTTAGAAATTAACACAAATATATCAGTTTGACCTATAGTTTAATATATTGGTGATTTAATATAAATATGTTTTTTATTCTACCCATTATAATAAATATGACCCCTAAATTGACACAGGATTCATTTGATTATATAATCTTGGCTCACGATAAGTAATGAAGAGCCTTATTAATATTAAGTATTTTCTCATTAATATATTCAAATCACAAAAGTTTGGCCTTTCGTGTAAGTAGTTTGGAAATCACTCCTTTTTAATGACAAATAATGACTTGAACAAACTAAAAAATCCACAATGTGTCTTACTGTCAGAACTACGGCCACAGGGACAACCACTGCCCCAAACTGGAGACACCTACAGGCAGACACAGATAATTACAACTTACCAGAGCAGAACCCCAGCACAACCAGGGGCAGGGTAAGGAAACCTGAATGGTCACTGGCACATGGCTGCAGGCTTGGTATGAACAAGTCTAAGAGTGAAAAACACCAGTGGGACCCAGCTATTCAGGGATCACACACTTCTGTGAGTTGTAGCTCCAGGAGCTCTGCCAAGTTTTCACAGTGAAGATCAGAGAAAAGTCTTTTTATGCTACTGGCAGGGGCAGGGATCAGAAACCACTTGAAATACACTAGAGCATCCTGTTCTTCCTAGCCAGAGGACACCATATAATTAGAGCCCAAACTACTGGATTTTTCCCAATTTTGAAATTGGGAAGTGCCCAATTTCAGCCCACGCTAGCCATTCTATGCCACTTAAGGAAGGTAGGGTGACCAAAACATGATTGTGAACTCCGTAGTGCAGAGGCCAAATCTTTCTAAAAGACTGGGGCCTACCCATAGAGTTCTACCGTGCTCCCTCACCTTCACACAACTACAGGCCTATTAACTGCAGTTTTTAAAAATCCATTATATCATGTATGGCTATCAGAAACAATGGCAACGCATACTAAAATGAGAAAAACACAGTCTGAAGAGACAGAGCAAACATTTGAACCAGACTCAAATATCAAAGGGACTTTGGAATTTTTAAACAGGGAACTTAAAACAACTATGATTAATCTGTTAAGGGCTCTAATGGACAAAGCAGAGAGCACGCAAGAACAAATGTGCAATGTTAGCAGAGGCATGGAAATTCTAAGAAACAGTTCAAAGGAAACGCCAGAGAGAAACACAGAAACAGAAGGAAGAAGAATGCTTTTGATAGGATCATTAATAGACTGGCCATGGATGAAGAAAGAATTCTGCACTTGAGGATATGGCAATAGAAACTTCCAAAACTAAGAAGCAAAGAGAAAAAAAGGACTGAAACAAAAGAGCTGAATATCCAGCAACTACGGGATGACTGTGACAGGTTTAACTATGTGTAATGGGAACACTAGAAGGAGTAGAAATAGAGAAAGAAGTGGAAGAAATATGTGAAGCAACAACTGAGAATTTAACTAAAGATACTATCAAACACCAAATTGAGCCAGGTAGATCACTTGAGGTCAGGAGTTCGCCAACATGGGAAAATCCCATCTCTACCAAAAATTCAAAAATTGGCCTGTTGTGGTGGCACACACCTGCAATGCTAGCTACTTGGGAGACTAAGGCAGGAGAATCGCTTGAACCCAGGAGGCAGAGGTTGCAGTGAGCCAAGATAGCATCATTGCACTCCAGCCTAGGCAGCAGAGCAAGACTCCGTCTCAAAAGAATTATAAAAAAAAAAGACACATTAGTCAAACTTCAGAAAATAAAAGTTAAATAAAAAATCTTGAAAGACACAGGGGGAAATATCTTACCTCTAGAGGAGCAAAGATGAGAATTATATACAACCAACTTTTCCACAGAGAACATACAGCAAAAAGAGAGTGAAGTGAAATTAAAGTGTCAGAGAAAAAGAACACCAAGCTAGAATTCTGTAGCCTACACATTATCCTTCAAAAGCAAAGAAGAAATAAAGACTTCCAAGACAAGCAAAAATTTAGGGAATATTTTGCCAGTACACCTGCCTTGCAAGAAAAGTTAAAAGAAATTCTTCACAGAGAAGAAAAATAATATATGTCACATGAGAAACTAACTCACCTGTCCAAATCCAAATAATATACTCAGAGATGCAGAGAACAGCAGAAGTGAGGCTTTAATGGTAGTCTTGCAAAACCGGGTGTCTGGCATGCAGGCACACCCAGAATGGTTTCAACAAGTAACTTATTCCCTAGTACACAAGTTCCTTCCCAAGTTCCCTTATTGGCTGAATACTATGGGTTACAATCTTCCTGGACATCACCTATTGGTAGTTGGGTTAAGGCTTCAAGTATGTTCTTTAGGGTCTTTTTATTGCAATTTATTGCAGCCCGTAATGCATTGTGACTGCTTCAGGACTCTTTAAATATTTGACTCATGGCCATAATGGCTGCACTTAGCTGATAAGAAAGGGTACAATTATTTATGTTGCAAGCTAGCCTAAACTGAATTCTTTTGTGGGGTGGGGAGTGGGTACTTAATGTGGGCAGCTGACATCTAGGTATCTGGCCACTGGGTGAAAGGGAAAGCAGGAAGAAGGGAGGGAAGGGGTGGCTCATGGCTCAGTACATTCTGTTTCATTATTGGTTTATTTCCATGAAGACTGTTTAAACTTATACTAAAGCACTTAGCATTGGAAATGGACCATCACATATAGGTTGTTCTCTACAATTCACTCCTCTTTTCTTTTTACCCTTGTTGTTATTTTCATTTAAATTACTTTGTTTTTTAAACTGTTCCAGAAGTTGTATACTTTCTTTTTCATAGCAGGGGAAGTTTAATTTGGCTTCTAATAATAGTAGTTTATTTTGTTGGGACATTAAGGGCATTAGTTTACTGATAACTGCTTTAATTAACCTTAGTGTTAATCCCCTCACACAAGGAATGATACAACATCCTATGGCTGTTAAGACCCCTGTCACAATTACAAGAGATGTAAGAATAGAAGCTACCATTCCTTTCACTTTTTAAACCAACCTTTTAGCCAATCAGTAAAAGGGTTATTTATTCCTGCATTTTTTAAAATTTTTATTTATTTATTTATTTATTTATTTATTTGCCATCTTATTGGCCAGAGTTCTTGTAGTGCCTTTGTAATGGTTTCATTTGGGGCAAAATTGTTGGGAGTGAAAATACAACATTTTCCGCCCAATGTAACACATGCAGTACCTTTTTCTGCTAATATATTGTTCAGTGCAATTTTGTTTTCCCAAGCCATTGGGCTAATGGCATTTAGTTGGCTGGCTACACACTTAAGGGCCTCTTGAGTGTAACTGATGAATCTTTACTGATTATAATAGATGTTATTGATCTAGTTTACATTTTTGTTAATAGTTGACCACCAGAAGAGTGCTGACTTAAATCCAGCAGCTTTTTGGTTTTGAGCCTTAAATATGTTAGGCACTCCCCGAGGAACTCCTAAGGAATTAATATATACATTGGGGTCAAAAGAACTTGTTATATTTCTTCAGTCTCAATGACCCTGTGTGTTTTTAGGTATTCTATGGAATGCCAGGGTGACAGGAATAGCCAGTTGCACTAAGGCACAAGTTCCAATTCAATTGGACAGTAGCAAGCTACTGAGGTTCCATTTCCCACAATACCACCAGACATCTGCCCCAGGGTATTTGAAGAGCTGCGTAGTTGCCACAGTCTGGCTTGCCAGTGACATTTAGGACATGAGTGCAGATTGAGACCTCCCCCTTGGGTTTATGGAACCTCGCCTCCTGTCTAGAGAGACAAGAGGAGTGATTTCCCTACAGAGGATGAGGGGATTGCTCTGGGATCTGTTCTCCACGAGGTGGGAAAGAGCAATGACAGGCTTTTACAAGTCTTATTTCCGCATGTATCCTTGTCTTGGTATAGAGCCAGCAGGCAACGTATTTCCATCCAAGAGGAAATGGAACCACCTGTGCCTGAGGCTGACAGCAGTGCATGCATAACAATTACTCTTATTCAGGGCTTATACTGAAAATGTAACCCATTTAACCCAGGCATGGAGAGCTCCATCTTCTGTTTGAATTTTCAATGTTTGTCTTAAATATTTTACTTCGACTATTTCTACTCTCTTAGGGTTATCATTTGAAGCAAGGTACGGGGTTGGAGTGGCATCAGGGAAAAGGGGAACTGAATTTCTACCTTAAGCATAAATTACCCTCTGGGGTCTTTACCGTCACATTAGGTCCCATTCCATATACTCAAGGTGCTACTATACCAATTCTTAGTTCTTCTTCTAAGTCCCATGATCCTAAAAGAGCAGGACTTTGAATAGTTAGGAGTACAGGATTACCCTCTAGGTTTTGACAGTTGATGGGGTGCCCCTGTGTATGCCTGGCATATCATTTGGGGGTACCCTGCCCCAGATGAAACCTGATGTCCAACCCTGAGGCTTGGTGGTCCACCATATATCTTCCCAGACATGACAAGGGGCTATATCAAGGCCCATGAGGGATTCTGGGCAGAGATTTTTTTTTTTTGCTCAGAAGAGCTGTCTCTAATTTTCCAGGCCTCTCTATAAAGCAAGACTTGATAGGCATTAAATTTTATAGTAATGGCTGTTTTAGCTTCAGTCACATATGCATATGGTGTGCTTTTAGTCATGTTAATTACTAATTTAATTGGCCAATAAGGATTTCCCTTCCAAGTCATCCAGTTCCTGTGCCAGCCGCTAGCCCTTGATATAATAACCCGTCCTAGCCATATTAATTTCCACAAATGGGGCCAGCTTATGTTTCCTTCTTAGGCTTTTCATAGGGTTAGCTTCAGGGGTTCCTTAGGTGACACATATGCCTCCCACTGGCCTGTGCTTTCCCTTCTTGGACCTGGCTTACCCGTCCCTTGACTTGCGTATAGTGAGTTCAGTCTTGTTTAGCTGTTCCATGGGCATCATGCTTCTCAGAAGCACTTGATAAGGACCTTCCCAGCTTGGGTAGAGCTTGTCTTCTTTCCAAGTTTTAATTAACACTGAGTCATCGGGTTGGAAGTGGTGAATCATGAACTCTGCTCAAGAGGCAGAGTTTGAGTTAGAAGTTCTTTTAACCCAGTGGAGGACAGAGTAGAGGCTATGGGCAATATACAATTGTTTTAAGAATTGATCCTTAGTTTTCATGGTGAGAAGGTCTGTACTCCTGCCCACATATGGGAGTCCATATAATAATTTATAGGAGGACAGTCCCAAATATTTTTCTAGGGGCTGTCCTAATTCTAAGGAGTGTAATGGAGAGGAACTTTGTCCAGGGAATTTGGTTTTTAGGATTAGTCTGGTAATATGTTTTTCTGAGAGTTTGATTCATTCTTTCTACTTTCCCGGGGGAAGGGGAACACCATGGGGTATGATAGTTCAATTTGTCAGCCCTCCATGATTCCCCTCAACACCCTTGAGGTAAAGTGACTCCCATTGTCTGAATCAATATTCTCTACCAGGCCGAAGTTTGGTGTAATTTGCTCTAAGATTATTTTAACCACATTCCCATCAGTGGCATCTGGGAGGAGAGAGGCCTCCACCCAGCCACAGAGGTGATCCACTATTACCAGTAAATACTTTAGCCTATCTATTTTAGGCATTTCTGTAAAATCCATTTGAATGCTTTGAAATGACCTCAGCCCAGGAGGTCTTCCCCCTGTTGTCTGCTTCCTAGTTACCCTTTGGTTTATTTTCTGACAAGTTACACAGCCCCTGCATACTTGCTTAGCAAGGGTGTAGATTCCTGTGCACCCATAAGTTTTTAGTATTGCATTACACATAGCCTGGGGGCCCCAGTAATTTCCCATGTGCAGTATGGACATTAGTTCTCTCATTATGGGCTTACTTGTTATTTTCCTCCCATCACGGAACATCTGCCTCCCATCCTCAGTTTGAGTGGCCCTTATATTACCCAGCTCTTCTGCCTCCTCTTTGGAAAATTGGGGTCTTAATATCACATTAGGGATGTCTGGGATTAGGCCAAACAGTCTAACTTCTTTCTCCAGAGAGGCTTGCATAGCCACTTCATCCTCAAGCCTGTTTCCATACAGTGTTTATATAGTGTTTCCTTTTTATGGCCATTTACGTGAACTATGGCTATTTCTGCTGGGAGCAAGGGGCTTTCCAAAACTTGTGTAATCAGTTCTCCATGTACCAATTTATCTCCCCTGTTATTTATTAGGCCCCATTCTGACCAGATTTTTCCAAAGGTGTGTATCACCCCATAGGCATATTTGGAGTTAGCATATATAGTGCCTTTTTGGCCTTTAAGAAGATTTAGAGCCTGGTTAAGGGCGTATAATTCACAGGTTTGTGAATTTTAAGCACATTCCCAGCAGTGGCATTTGGTAGGGGAAAGGCCTCAACCCATATTCGAAGTTAGTGTATGGAGTGCCCTTTTGGTCTTTAAGAAGATTCAGAGCCTGGTCAAGGACATATAATTCACAGGTTTGGCCTGCCCTTTTCACATAAGAGTTGTTTGTTTCCATTAATGATAGCATAGCCATTATGTTCCTTGTCTTTTATTACTAGGGACGACTTGTCTATAAACAGCCTGATTCCATCATGCAGCAGGGCTTCCCTAAGGCCTCACTGGAATTTGGTGTCTGATATCCAAGCAGCTATGGTTAAGTGCTCCTTTATCTTCCCCTCTCTTCCACAGGAAATTGGATGGATATAGGCAAGTGTCTGTTGTGAAAGCCAAATTATTTTTTCTAACAATACGGCTTCATACTTTAGATTCCGGGAACTTGTTAACCATCCCCAGCCTTCTGGTTTAATATGGGCCTGATCTGGTGCGGGGTACTTACTATTAGAGCCGCACCAAAGGTTAGATTTTGGCTCTCTTCCACAAGCAGAGTTGTAGCCACCACCGCTTGAGACGGGATGGAGAAGTTTGGAAATAAAGGCCACAGGTTGCTTTTTTTTCTCGGCAGGTTTGAGGAAGCACCGCAAGGGCAATGCCCTGATCCACTGTCACAAACAAGCAGAGCGGTTTCTCTGGAGATGGGAGGGCCGAGACCGGAGCTGTCATGAGAGCTTGCTTTTGTTCCTCTATTGCCTGAATTTCCTCTGGGAACCAGTGCAAGGGATTAGGTTCCTTTTCTAATAGTTTAAGATACAAAATTCTTGCCTTTTGGGCATATGAGTCAATCCATAATCTATGATAACCAGTTAACCCTAGAAATTTCCAGAGCTCTCTCTTTGTTGTAGGTAAAGTCCACTATCCCAGATGCCGCTTCGGTATTCATTCTCTGCTTGCCTTCACTAATCACATGTCCCAAGTATTATCTTCCTTTTCTACAAACCGTAGATCGGTTTTAGAGCCTCATAATTCCTTTTCACCCAGAAAATTAAGTAATCTTATGGTTTACTTAGTACCTGATACCTCTGTCCTTTTTTCCCCAGAGATTAAAAGGTTATCAATGTATTGTAACAGCTGAGTCCCCCTGGGAGTTTGGAATTCTTCCAATACCCTTTCCAGGATCTGACCAAATAAGTTTGGGGTTTCAGTGAAACCTTGTGACAGCACAGTCCAGTGATGCTGCTGTTTCCTCCAGGTTGTGGGATTTTTCTAGTTGAAGGCGAAGAGATCTCTACTTTTGTCATCTAAGGGGCATGACCAAAATGCATCTTTCAGGTCCACCACACTGAACCACTTGTGTTCACAGGGTACCTTACTAAGGAAGGGGTAAGGATTAGGTACCACACGGTGGCAGGCCTGAACGATTTGATTTACAGCCCTTAGATCCTGTACTAATCTGCATGACCCATCCAGGTTCCTGACTGGGAGGACTGGGGTATTGTATAGTGACACACATGGTTCCAATAACCCATCATTAACCCCTCTATTACCGGTTGGAGGCCTTTTCTTCCTTTAATGGGCACTGCATATTGTTTTCTACAAACTATTTCTCCAGGTTGTTTGAATTCAATTTGTAAGGGTGTGACCCTTAATCCTCCCTATTGCCTTTCCTAACCCATACAAGGGGATCAATTTTACTTTCTTCTTCTTCAGTTAGGATAGCCATTATTCATCACTTTTATTCATCCCTCTTCTACTGCTAATCCTAGGCCCAATCTTTTTTTTTTTTTTTTGACAAACTTACCCTCTTGTAGCCCAGGCTGGAGTGCAATGGCGCAATCACGGCTCACTACAACCTCTGCCTCCCAGGTTCAAGCGATTCTCCTGCCTCAGCCTCCCAAGTAGCTGGGATTACAGCCATGCACCACCATGCCTGGCTAATTTTTGTATGTTTAGTAGAGACAGGGTTTCACCATTTTGGCAAGGCTGGTCTCAAACTCCTGACCTCAGGTGACCTACCCTCCTCAGCCTTCTAAAGTGCAGGGATTATAAGTGTGAGCCACTGCACCCGGCCAACCCAATCTTAGAGTCAGGTCTCTACCCAGGAGGTTGGTTACTGCTTTAGGAACATACAAGAGTGATTCTTTAATCTGTTCTGATCCTAGTCTAATCACCATTTTCTTGAATAACCTGAAATTCCTCCCCTTTTACCCCTGATACTATTAGTTTTCCCTTAGAGAGCTCTGTACCTTTTGGTCAGTGAATTAGGGAGGAGCAAGCTGCCCCAGTATTGACCAAAATGTTACTTCTGTTGCAGAATATTCAGGAGGCTGGAGAGACCAAGGAAGATTTTATTAAGGTGGCCACTGACTCAAAGGGTTAGCATCCCAAGGCTGAGCACCTAGGAAAGACAGGGCTTGATTTTTTATACATCCAGGATGATGTAGCAGCTATCAGATTTACAGAAGCCAGAACAAATAACAGTTAATTAATTTGTAACATGTCTATGTCTTGTGATGTACGTTACATCTGAAAAATAGCATTTTGGGAAACACACTATACATTCTTTGGGTGCTATTTTGCCCTGTGACCTTGTAGCTGGTCTGCGAGAAAAACAGGAGCCTTAAGATGCCTGGGAACTTTGCTGAGACTGTAGGGAGAATAGGTAAGGTAGTTTTACAGGGAGTTCATTAATTTTAAGCAGAGCTGGGGATTAGGTTTTATATTAAACACAAGACAGTAAACTTTATTATGCAGCAATTACAGGCTACTATGGTTGTTATTTAGTTTCCCTTTTTACTTCTTCCCCTTCAGGTCCCACTCTCAAATTTATCAAGGGTTCCTGGTGGGACCTACCTATAAGGAACCACTGGCTCCCCTAATCCTTATCAGAAGTTATGGGGGATCACTTTCTCTTCCTTTTTCCATTCTGGGCATTCTCTCTTAAAATGTCCTGAGCTTCCCACATTTGTAACACACATTTACAATCTTGGGAACTTTTTCTTGTCTTTCCCTTCTATCTCTTTGCTGACACCTTGTATTCTCTCATCTCCCCAGAAAAGTCTTGACCCAGTTTCTTTCTGATTACTTCCTTACAGTGGAAACCATAAAATTTGCCTTTTGTTTCTGTCTCTCTTCCTCCCTTCTTACAAAAACTTTCTGTGTTTCCCTCAGCAACTCTTGAATCAACTTTTCATTCCAGCCCTCAGTCATTTTTGGTGATATCTGGCCAGCTTTTGGTCACAAAGTATACCTTTAGAAGACCTGTTCTACTGGGTCCTCTGAATCTAATCCATAGTATTTCCTCATCTGATCTCTAAGTCTTTACAAGAACGCAGAAGGAGTTTTCTCCTTCTCTTGTTGAATCTTAAATGCCTTTGAGACATTCAGTCCAAGGAGTGGACTCTCTGATTTCTTTAATTATTAGCTCTTTAAGGTCCTGCATTTGGGCAGGATCTCTAGGATTATGATTATCCATTCAGGATTAACATTTGGAAATTTTTGTTCAGCTGGTAGAACACCTTGCCTGGGAGGGTGCTACCTTTCCCAAAGGGTCATGGCTGCCCTCCTAATCATTCCCCTTCCTTCTCCAGTAAACACAATATTCAACACAGACATTATTTCGGCCCAGGTGTAAAAACTGGGTCCCAAGACTTGAACCAACTATTCTGCTAACCCAAGGGGATTTTTCAGGAGTGACTTCATTTCCTTTTTCAAATTTCTTACCTCAGTACTTGTTAAAGGTGCATTTACAAATCCAATTTCTCCCTGTGACATAGGAGCTTCCCTAAGGGGAAACATATTAGAAATCTGTAGTGTAGAGGGGATAGGGAAGCTTTCAGTATCCTTCTTGCATTATTCTAACTCTTCTTAAACCCAGACAAGGGTTTAAAGGTGCAATTGGCCTAGTTTTCTCATGGCCCCCAGACCTCTCCTTTTCTGATTCATGTTCCCTCATTTTCCTGCTCCCTATTTGTCTGATATATTGTTGGGGGAGCAGGAAAGAAAGGGGGCCCCAGGATTTCTCACTGGATAAGCGTTCTTCATTATGCTCTTTTTTTTTTCTTTGAGGGAGAACATGGGTGTCAATTCCTTGATCCAAAAGAGAGCACAATTTACCTCCCATTGAGAAGGTGGGGTTTTATCATTAACATAGAGAATTAAAGCTTGACATACCCAATTTTTATCTGAGCCAAATTTTGACCAAAGGACAGAAGGCTGATGAATGGGGTCTTCAGGCCAGATAAAACATCAATACTTTATTGTCTTTTATTTTTCCTTATCTTTGGTTTAGGGGTTATTCCCCCCAGCCTGTAACATTCTTTCCAATGGACTAGCAGGGGTGATATCAGAGTGGGCCTCTTTGGCTCCCTCCTTCCTTTGTTTCCTAGACCTGGAATTTTTGCTCCTCATTTTCTGCTGGTCCCTATGTTTAAGTTTCCCTGTGTATTCATCCCTGCCTACTGGAGGTTTCTTGTACACCCCAAGAGTCAACCATTTCATATATCTCCAACTGTTTTCCTTGTAGGAGAACAGAACCACAGACTGGGACTCCACACTTGCTTGGTATCTAGGATACGTTTCAGTTGCACAAACTCACTCAACCTCTGAAAATGCCCAATCACCAAGGCAGTACTTACAGTCTAATTTTCCTACTTTGGCTAGTGTACAAGATTGGCAGCTGTGGTGCCAGCAACCAGCCTGGTTTCTTCCTGTGTCACCTCCACTGCTTCCTGAATAACAATTACAATCTTGGGTTTATCTATGGCCTCTGCAGGGAGCTGGGACTCCCAGACAGAGCAGGCCACCTACATAAGGAGGGACACATATTCCCTCTCAGCTGGGGACCCACTCTGCTCAGGAACAGAGATCCTGGATGAGCCCCCAGATTGTGAGAAACAAACTCACCCATCTAAACCCAAAGAATGGACTCAGGGATATGGAGAACAGCAGAAGTGGGACTTTAATGGCGGTCTTGCAAATTTGGGTGTCTGGCATGCAGGCATACCTGGAAGAGTTTCAACAAGCAATTTATTCCCTAGTGTGAAAGTCCTTCCCCCAGTTCCTCATTGGCTAAGTACTATAGGGTTACAATCTTCCTGGATATTGCCTACTGGTAGTTGGGTTAAGGCTTCGAGTGTGTTCTTTAGGGTCATTTCCTGAATTTCACTGCAGCCCATAATGCATTGTGACTGTCTCAGCACTCTTTAAATATTAGACTTACAGCCCTAGTGGCTGCACTTAGTTAATAAGAAAGGATACAATTTTCTATGTTGCAAGTTAGCCTAAGCTAAATTATTTCATGGGATGGGGAGCGGGGCTTAAGCAGAAGAACATGACCAACAGGGGCCTGACCACTGAGTGAAAGGGAAAGCAGAAAGGCAGGGCGGTGATTCATGGCTCAGTACATTCTGCTTCTTTATTTCTTTATTTGCATGAGCCTGCTTAAACTTATACTAAAGCACTTAGTATTGAAAATGGGCCACCACATATAGGTTATTCTCACCAGTCTTAAACTCAGGTCTTAAAGAAAAAGAAGCATTGAAGAAGACATAAGTGAAGTTAAATAAAAACTTTAGTTATTCTTAATTTATTTAACAGATAACAGATTATTAAAAAACAAGCAAGGAAGTGTTCAATTACATATGCCTATGTGTGTGTGTGTGTGTGTGTGTGTGTGTGTGTGTGTGTGTTTATATATAAGTAAAGGGAATGGACAGCAATAATACAAAAGGCAAGAGGAAGACATTGGTATTATTTTGCTATTAAAAGATCATGCACTACCCATTAGGTGGTGTAGTATTAATTGAAAGTGGACTTGAATTAGTCATAAATGTATATTGCAAACTTTAGGGCAACCACTACAAAATTAAAATTAATTTGCTAAGAAATGAGAAAATATTGACAACAAATAATAGTATAAATTCTCAGTTAAAGAAATTATAAAAAGCAAATAAAAGAGTGAAAGATAAAACAGAAGCAAAAACAAGGTTAACAAATAGAAAAGAATAACAAATATAGTAGATATTAATAAGAATACATAAATAATTACTTTGAAGGTCAATGCTCCAAATAGACATATTAAAGTATAAAAATCTTAGAATGAATTAATAGATAAGATCCAAATATCTTTTGTCTTTACGGAACCCATTTTAAATATAAAGACAAACGTAGATTAAAAGTAAAGGTATGGTGAAACATAGACCATGCCAGCACAAATCAAAAGCAAGCAGAATTAGTTGTGTTAATTTCAGACAAAGTATACTTCAGAGCAAGGAAAGCTATGGGGAGTAGAGAGAGGCATTACCTCATGATAAAGTGGTCAATTCTAGAAGAAGTCATTCCAATTCTTAATGTGTATGCACCTAACTACATAGCATCAAAATATGTGAGGCAAAACCCGATATAACTGGAAAGAGAGATAGATTAACCTGCAATAATAATTGTGGATTTCAACACCTGCTCCATCAGAAATAGACAAATCCAGTCAGCAGAACATCAGTAAGGACATTATTGAATTGAACAACACCATAAAACAACTGGCTTTAATTGACATCTATAGACTACTTCATCTAACAACAGCAGATTAAGCATTCGTCTTAAACTCACATGGAATACTCATTGAGATGGATCAAATTTAGGACCATGAAATGCATCTTTACACATTTAAAATAGAAATCATATAATATCTGCTTTTACCATGGTAAAATTATATTATGAATCAATGACAAAAGGATAGCTGGAAAATCCCAAAATAGATGGAGATTAAACAACACATTTCTAAATAACACATAGGTCAAAGGAGAAGTCTCAAGAGAAGTTAATCTTTTTAGCTAAATCAAAACGAGATACAACTTAGCAAAACTTGTGACATATAGCCCAAGTAGTGCTTTGAAGGAAATTTAATAAAATTTATATATATATATATATGGGAAAAAAGTAAGATATAAAATTAATGACCCATGCTTCCACTTTAGGGAACCAGGAAAAAAAGGGCACATTAAATCCAAAGTAAGCAGAAGAAAAGGCGTAATAAAAATTAGAGTATAAATACATGAAATTAGAATAATCAAATTACCAGAAAAAAACAACAAAACCAAAAGCTGGTTCTATGAAAAGTTAAATAAAATAAATAAACCACTATCCAGGCTACTAAGAAAAAAATGGCAAAGGCACAAATTTATAATATCAAAATTAAAAGACTATCACTACAGATCCCATGACATTAAAAAGATAATAAAAAATGTCTTAACAATTTTGTGTGTCTACAAATTGGGTAACACAGATAAAATGAACCAATTCCTTGAAAAATATAATTTGTGAAAACTCACAAAAGAACAATCAGATAAGATAAATATGTCATATTTATTTTTGAATTAAATTAATAATTATTCATTCTTCAATATAGAAAGCATCAGAACCAAATGGGTTCACTTGTGAATTCTACCAAACATGTAAGGAAGAAATTATATCAATTCTCAACAATCTCTTTCAGAAGATAGAGGTAGAGGGAATACTTCCCAAGTCATTCTATGAGGCCAGTATTAATCTAATACTGAACCCAGACAAAGACATTACTGGAACTAACATCTCTCATGAACATAGAGGAAAAAATCTTCAACAAAATATTAGCAAATCAAATTCAACAATGTATATAAATAATTATGTACTACAACCAGGTGAAATTTATCTCAGGTGTGCAGAACTAGGTCAATGTTAGAAAATAAACTAATGCAATTCATCACATCCACAGACTAAAGAAGAAAAAAAATTATATTAACTTATCAGTAGATGCAGAAAAAGTACTTGACAAAATTCAACACCCATTTATGTTAAAAACTTTCAGCAAATTAAGAATAGAAGGAAACTTCTTCAAATTGATAAAGAATAGCTACAAAAAGTCTCATAGCTAACATCATACTTAATGGTGAGAAACTAGGAGCTTCTAAGATAAGGAATGATGTAAGGTTGTCCCCTCTCACTACTCCTTTTCATTGTACTGGAAGTCTTGGCTAATGCAAAAAGACAAGAAAAGAAAATATATGCACTTAGGAAGGAAGAGATAAATCTACCTTTAGTCTTAAATGACATGATTGTTGTAGAAAATCCAAAAGAATCAACAACAACAAAAAGCTTTTGGAACTAGTAGATGACTACAGCATGGTTGTAGGGGTGTAGGATACAAGGTTAATATACAAAAACATTCCTTGTCCTATATACCAGCAATGAACAATTAAAATTTTAAACATAATACCACTTACATTAGTACCAAAAAAGCATAAAATACTTAGGTATAAATTGAACCAAATATATGCAAGATATATATGAGCAAAACTTCAAAATTCTGATGACAGAAAACAAAGAAGAAATAAATAAATGGAGAGTTATTTCATATTCAGAAATAGGAAAAGTGAATATTTTCAGTATATCAGTTCTTCCCAATTTGATCTATAGATTGAATGCAACCCCAATAAAAATATCAACAAATTACTTTGTGGTATTAAGAAACTGATTATAAATTTTATTTGGACAGAAAATAGACCCCAATTGTCCAACACAATATTGAGAAGAGAATAAAGTCAGAAGATTGGCACTACCTGACTTCCAGACTTAATATAAAGCTACACTAATTAAGGAAGTGTGTTAATGGTGAAGCAATAGATAAATAGTTCAGTGGGACAGAATTGAGAGCCCAGAAATAAACTCACACAAATACAGTCAAATAATCTTTGATCAGAGGGCAAAAATAATGCAGTGGAAAAAGTAGTATTTTCAAGAAAGAGGGCTTGACCAACTGGACATCCACATGCAAAGAAAAAAAAAAAAAAACTAGAAACAGACCTTCAGACCCTTTAGTCTTCCCACAAAACTTTTAAATTCCTATATAATAATAGGAAAATACCTAAATGACCTTGAGTATGGCGATTAATTTTAGATATAATACCCAAGGCATGAATCTTAAATACTTCATAAGCTGGACTTAATTAAAATTTAAAAGTCTGCAAAAGACACTGTCAACAGCATAACAAGATAATGAAGATAAGTCACAAACAAAAAGAAAATATTTGCAAAATGCCTGATAAAGTGATTATCCAAAATATACAAAGAACTCTTGAAAAATTCAACAATAAAAACATCCCAATTTTCTAATAAGAAACAGACCTGAACAGACACCTCAAACAAAGAAGATATACATGTCAAATAAGCATATGAAAAAGATGCTTATGATATGTCATTAGGATATGGTAAATTAAAACATTACTCACATATTAGAATGGTCCAAATCCAAAACGCTGACAATACGAAATGCAGGAGAGGATGTGGAGCAACAGGAACTCTCATCCATTGCTGGTGGGAATGCAAAATGGTGCAGCCGCTTTGGAAGACAGTCTGCCAATTTCTTACAGAATTAACCATCCTCTTGTTTATGATCCAACAATCATGCTCCTTAGTATTCACCTAAATGAATTGAATACATATGTTCGCACAAAAACCTGCACACAAATGTTTATAGCAGCTTTATTCACAATTGTCAAAATGTGCTTATTTGGAAGCAACCAAGGTGTCCTTCAGTAGGTGAATGGATAAATAAACTGTAATATATCCAGATCATGGAATATTACTCAATGTTAAAAATAAATGAGCTATCAAGCCATGTAAAGACATCAGATAACTTTCAATTTATCTTATGAAGTGAAAGAAGTCACACTGAAAACTCTATAGAGTGTGTGATTTCAATTGCAGTCATGTGTCATTTAACAATGGGGATACAGTCTGAGAAATGCGTCGACACCTGATTTTGTCATTGTGTGAACATCACAGAGTGTACTTAAATAAACCTAGATGGTGCAGCCTACTAAACACCTCGCTCTATGGTGTAGCCTATTGCTCTTAGGCCACAATCCTGTGCAGCACATGACTGTATTGAACACTGCAGGCAATTGTAACATGGTGATAAGCATTTTTGTATCTAAACATAGAAAAATTGCAGTAAAAATATGGCATAAAAGATTTTTTTTTTTATATACAGGACACTTACATAAAGGAGCTTGCAGGACTGAATGTTGCTCTGGGTGAGTCAGTGAGTGAGTGGTGAGTGAATGTGAAGGCCTAGAACATTAGTGTACACCACCATAGATTTAAAACTGCACATGTAGGCTACAATAAATTTATTTTAAACATTTTCTTCAATAATAATTTAACCTTAACTTACCGTAACGTTTTTACTTTATATATGCCTCATTTTTTAAAACTTTTATACTCTTTTGTAATAACACAGCTGAAAATACAAACACATTGAAGAGCTGTACAAAAAATTATTTGTATACTTATTCTATAAGCTTTTTTCTATTTTTAAGATTTTTATTGATATGTTTCATTTTTTAAGCTTTTTTGTTAAAAACTAAGACACAAACACACATTATAGCCTAGGCCTACGTAGGATCAGGATTATCAAGGCATCACTCGGTGATAAGAATTTTCCAGCTCCATTATAATCTTATAGGAACACTGTGGTATATGTAGTCTACAGTTGACCAAAACATCATTATGCAGTGCATAGCTGTATATGACACTCTGGAAAAGGAAAAACTGTGGAGATAGTGGAAGGATCCCTGGTCATCAGGTGATGGGGAGAGCAGGGGAGCAGGAGATGCACAGGTAGGGCACAGAGGATTTGGGAGCAGTGGAACTGTTCTATATGAAACTCTAAAGGTCGATAATGCCATTGTTTCTCAAAACCCGTAGAACAGGGGTCCCCATGAACCAATACCTGTTAGGAACCAGGCAGCACAACAGGAGGTGAGTGGTGAGTGAGCAAAGCTTCATCTGTATTTACAGCCACTCCCCATTGCTCGCATTACCACCTGAGCTCCACCTCCTGTCAGATGAGCTGCAGCATTAGATTCTCATTGGAGCACTAATCCTACTGTGAACTGTGCATGCAAGGGATTTAGATCTTCTGCTCGTTATGAGAATCTAATGCCTGATGATCTGTCACTGACCCCCATCTCCTCCAGATGGAACCGTCTAGTTGCAGGAAAACAAGATCAGGGCTCCCCTGGATTTTACATTATGGTGAGTTGTATAATTATTTTATTACATATCATAACGTAAAAATGATAGAAATACAGTGCACAATAAATGTAATGCATCCCTAAACCATCCTCACACCCTCCTTGGTCCATGGCAAAATTGTGTTCCACAAAACCAGTCCTGCCAAAAAGGTGAAGGACTGCTGCCATAGGATATATACAGCACCAGGAGTGAACTCCGGACTTTGGGTGATGACACTGCATCGGTACAGGGTCATTGATTGTAATAGAGTTATGGCTGTGGTCAGAGTGGTTGATAGGGAGGGAGGCTGCTTGTGTGAGGGTGGGGGACATAAGAGAGTTTGTATCTGCCATTCAATTTTGCCGCAAACCTACTCTTCTAAAATATAAGGCCCATTTACAAAGCAAAACAAAATAAAACAAACCATATGCACAAATAGGTGAATCTTAAAACAGAGGTTTAAAATGAATGAAGCAAAAGCTTACAAACTGAAAAGAAAATATCCACATGTCAGCTAAATGCTGAATTATTTTTGAAAAAGTAAACTATAGAGGCAGAAAACAGATCAGTCAGTGGTTGGGAGGGGCTGCGGGCTGAGTGAAGGGTTGATCCTAGGGGATATAGGGAAATATTTTTAAATAATGGAACTATTCAAAAGCTTTATTGTAGTGGTAGTATGCCTGTACATTTTTGCAAAAACTCACTGAATTCTGTACTGAAAAGGTGAATTTCATGCTATGTAAATTATACCTTAATTTTTAAAATTTTAGACCTTATTTTTTTAATGGGGGAAAAGAAACATAAAATAGGCATAGAAAAATGATCATTGATGTGGGGATCTATATGTCTGTCTTATTTCCAATAAGTCAATTTTTTTTGATATTTTTATATATAGCTGTTAGGAAAGTCTATCACTCACTTCTTAGCAATCTGATATCTGACTGTGCAAAAATCAAAACAACCCTCGTGTTCAAATTTCTCGTGCAAATTAGGAAATGAGGATACTCCATAAACTAAGCAAAAGATATCTAGGATCTCTTTCAGAATGAGTGCATTTCATTGAATCGGTGCACATTTGTTCAAGCCATTCTTTTAGTCTTTTCATCCCTAAGCATCTTCATACATTAGTCTGCAAATAGAAAGACCAAATGGTATCAATAAAGCAGACACAGCCAGAGATGCTGTTATTTGCTGAAATTTAGAATTGGAAGAAGAGTAAGTGACCAAACATCCTAACTCCTTATCAGCATCAAACATGCTGGGTCCAGGTGGGTTGGGGTGACTCCCCAGGGCTAGTGCAGGACCCTGTCAGCTGCTCTCTTACCGCTGCCCTTTGGTCTCAATCCAGCACCCAGTGGGTTAAAACAGGTGTGACCACACTCCTCCATTACTCCAAATAGCCCAGTGATTTCTCATCTCAGAGCAAAATCCAAAGTCGCCATAGTAGAGGAGATGACCCAACTGCTATATGTAAAAACAATAAAATTGTTAATTGACTTACTGCAAGTAAGACATACCTATAGATTTCCATGCCAATAAACAGTTCTCTATCCTAGTTTTAGTTCTTCTCTCCCCTATTTTAAAAATTAAGGTATAAAATTCTAAAAATTAAGATAGAAAAATTAAAAATTAAGATATAGTTTACATAGGGTAAAATTCACCCTTTTATTACAGAATTTAGTGAGTTTTGACAAGGATATATAGCATTAGTTCTTAAATGCTCTGGACCAATGAGTGCTACTCGTTTTCCTCTTTTTAGTCTTTATGTTTTTATTTTTTATTTTTTTAAATTATACTGTTTTATAACTGTTTTTAAGTTTTTTAAAAAACTTTTAAGTTCTGGGGTACATGTACAGGTTTGTTATATAGGTAAACTTGCGTGTCTGTGTGTGTGGGGGGGTTGTTGTACAGATTATTTGGTCACCCAGGTATTAAGCCTAGTACCCATTAGTTATTTCTCCTGATTCTCTCCCTCCTCCAAGCCTCCGTCTTCCAATAGTCCCCAGTATGTGTTGTTCCCTCTTTGGTCTTTTCTGTCTTCGAGACTATGTTGCAATTAACCTGTCCCCCATCCCACATCACTGCTGTTGGATGGAAGGCACAGACAACTTGTCTACCAGGATATTGATTTTTAGATGCTGAGAAGCCACTGTTGAGTCCTGTGGGCAGTACTGACCATCAACCAGAGGTCTTAGAGTTTGAGCTTCATGTACTGACTGGGTAGGACATTGGGTTGTCTTCTAGAGGAATGGGTTAGAATACTCTGAATGGGAAGAAGAGTGCAAACAGTTATCTCTGCTACAGAATGACAAAATGTACACCATTAATATTCAAATGCCTCTTCCCATAGTTCAGAGTTGTCTCAGGAAAGCACTGGCAGTAGTCAAGATAAGAGTTCCCAGCCCCTCTCCTCTGCATCCAGGGAAGGCCGCTAGGAAACCTCACAGGCCTTTCTGCTGAAAACCTCACAAATCCTTGGAGAGGGCAGCCCTGCCAGGACCTAAGTCAAAGCCAACCTTACAGGAGAGTGAATTGATTATAATTTTAGCACAGATTTTACAGCCCAGGACCCCCACTGTTTGTTGAAGGATAGGAAGGCTAGGCTGGTTTTTATCTGCCTATTCCCAGGTGGTCAAAATGATTCATTATGGCCAATTCCTGAGAGATTGATCTAGAAACCAGAATGCCAATATGTCAGTGAATAATGTGACCTAGAGCCGAAGAAATATTCGTATCTGTTGTACAATCAATACTACACTTTCCTAGAAGTCAGGCCTTTTGAAGAATCTACTTTTGGACATTCTAAATTTTTCTAAATTCATCTATTGTAGTGTGTTCTTAGGTCATTTCTCCAGGAATTAAAGACCCTGAAATTATTTGGCATGTTCCTGTGATACAAAGTTACTATTGGCAAGGTCAAAGACAGTGTTAATTAAGCACAGGGTTTGCTAATCTCCATAAAGTTAGTAGACCATTAGTTGAAACCGCAGGCTAATCCAGCCAGTAGAGTAAAAACAAATAAAAATTCGTTTATGGCTGATGTAAGTTAAGAAATGGTCCAGTCAATATAAATGTTTGTTCTTTCCCACAAAAAAAAAACCCTTTTTTTCTGATTTATGAAAATGTTTTGATAGTAATGATTTCTTTTTAAATAAATCATGTGCACATAATCAGATTGTCTTTCAAATTCAAATGCGTGGAATTCAGCTAGCCATTTACTGTACATCAGAAAAAAAGGCAAAGGTTTGTTTGAAAAGCTGAGAATCATTAGCTTTAGATGCCATTATCAATTAAAAGGGCAACACTGATTAGCAAAGATCTCTTGGTCTTAGCACTAAATTGATGTGCCTGGAGATATAAAATCTGGTTTTGCTTAACTCTGAGAGTATAAATATCAATTTCTCTCCATGAGTTACATTTCCACTTTGAAGTCTGAATTTGGATTTTCAATGCAGAACTAATTAAGATGTTACAGACACCAAGCTAATTTGATATGTCTGAAAGCATAAAAAGGGATTATTTTAAAGGTAGTTAAGTGAATACACCAAAATGATGTATGTGAGTATTTCTCCTTGAGCATGTCACAGAGGTGCTATTTTAAAGTACTAGGAAATTTTTCAAAAGACACAATGTTTGAATTGTAAAAGAATAAAAATATTGGTTATACATATTTCTTAAATATTATGTTAGTTATCATTATATACCACTGATGTGTGCCCAGTGTTTTATTTATAATATTTCATATGCTAGTAGGTACTAAATAGTGTTATTGTCCTTACTTTCCAAATAAGGAAACTGAGGCTCAGGATAGATAACTCATTTAGTTCACAAAGTCAGTGAGCAGCAGAGTCAGAATTTGCTCTCCTCTCTTGAGTGTTAACTAAAGACACACTACCCTTTTTAATTACAATACTTTCTGGCCCTTTTCAAAAGATACTGAAAAACTAAATTTAACAAAGTAAGATACAAATTACTATGGAAATTGGGAGTGAAGTGTCCAGGGTATTTTGGGTAATACATAAACCTGACAGTCCAGATGAGAGGCATTGACTGACTACTGGGTGAACAGGTTGATTTCTG